GATACATATATTTTTTCATACATTTATAATGCCCATTTGTGATTTCCACGGAAGCTTATCAGATTATTATTGCTCTGATTAGATCTGAATCTATAATATATTATATATTACCCTATATTTATGGCTAATATTGAGTGAAATATTTAGTGAATAATTTTGAAAATATTGCTGGACCTCACTTAATTTGTATAGTTAAAATTTAATTAGTTTCTAGTTACTATAATTAAAACATTCTTTCGCATTTCTAGCATTTGTTTCTTTTACAAAGCAATGTAGCTCTGAAAGTTATAGTAAATACTAATAAATTCGCAATTCATTAGTAAGTAATAAGCAAGAATGTGACAATCGAGCACTACTACTGACTGCCTAATACTCGTTCATGTTGCGAAAATAGTTGAATCGAGATTCCTAACTTCCAATCTCTAGTAAAACTGCGTTGAATTATTAGAAATCGGCATTAGTAAGGATCGCGCATCGATATATAGAGAATCTAATAAATACTCACATGCTCTAATTCGAGGTTCCAGACCCAAAACTATGTGAGATAAAGTTATAAACGACTTACCACCCCCTTAAAGGGCTCAATCATTTCATTTTTGGCAAATCATTAAAAGAAGCTTAACATAACTATAATTATACATATATTGGGTCGCTCACTAAGTAATTTCGATTATGTTTTTAGTGAAATTTAAACACGATTTTTTTTTATTATGCAAAATAGATTATGAAAACGTATATCCTCCTATTTTTGTCTATTACCGTCTGCCATCTTTCGGGCAAGAGGTTAATTTCATGCTCATCAAAATTGTAGCATATTTTTGATGTACCACGCTCCCAAAGAGGCGCTAAAATTGTTTTTGGATCAACTATAAAGGAGAGATTTCAGAACCTTCACGAGTAACTTTTCGGTTAGGCTAAAATACAGTATTGTGTATCTTTATTTTTATTCTTTATGAAACCGTTTCAAATTTTTTGCTTTGCATTCCAATGAACAGGTGGACAAACGCTCGGACAGCAAGACGTACACGACACAAAACCAATATACTCTGTGTAAACGAGTATAAAGCCTAAATGCTTTGAGCCGATCGCCAATCACCGGTTGCTATGTATGCAGTTCTCAACTAGAGCTCAGCTGCCCCGCGCGAGAACCAGTTGATTTCAATCGTTCTACGACAAAAAACTTTGCGCACTTCGCGCCGGCAATTGCAAAGCCAACGGCCAAACTGAATAAACTCTCTATGAATGATATATGAGCAGTCACTCACCATCTCTCAGCTTCTGTCTCTCCGCTCCGCTCTTTGGGGCTGATTACAATAATTAGCATAGTTTTAATGGCTCTTGGGAAAAATAGAAAACAAATACTCAACAAAACAAAAATCTCTGTAGAGAAAGAGAAAGAGAAAAAATAGTTAAAAAAAAAAAAAAAAAAAAAAGAAATCATTGTATTCGCATCTTAATGGGGCGGACGACCACTAAATCTCTCATCTCGCATTTTTCCAAAGCTTCTTATGTCGAATCCGATTGCAGCTACGAAATTGCTTCCATCTCCCTCTGCCTATACCTCTACCTCTCCCTCTCCCTCTCGCTCAGGGGAGCTATGGCAAAGTTCAGGCTAAAGCTTTGACTGCTGCGAAGGCAATTGCAAATGCAAAGTTAAGTGCACGAATGAAAACGAGGCGCGAGCGTCGAGCCGAAGAGGGTGGTTAGGAAAGGGGAGAGTGGAGAGTGGAGAGCCGAGTGGGACAGAGTCAAGCGAAGTGGAGCACAGGGCAGAGAGGCGCGCGCGTTAAGTGAATGTTGTTGAATGTTTAATGCTAAAAAAACTTATCGCTCCGACCCGTGCTGCGGCCCGCCACTGCCGCCAACCCCGCCTCCGGCTCCCCAGCCTCGACCGCCCCCGTCAACCGCCAACTGCCGCGGTCCGATCTGGCTGGCAATCAGTCAAAAGCCAACGCTAAGCCAATTAAGTTTGCAAACTTATTCCGTGTGAAATTAATTACTTGCATTTTTATTTTCATATAGTATGGCTATGTGTTGTTGTTTTTGCATTTGCTGTGTTGAAACGAGACGGAAGACATGCAAACAGCAAAACAACAAACAAATTAAACTGATGCATATTTAATGCGTTATTCATTAATGAACAACGTCAATTTTTAGCCGTTTCCGTTTCCTCATCCCTCAGTCGACCTCAATAAGTGGGAGACGTGATTGATTGGCGTAGGATGTAAAGGTTTTTTTCTGTTTTTCTTTTAGCATATATCATGAAAGTACTTATCTCTTTTTGAAATCGATTTGGAATATAATATTTGATATTATATGCATATGTTTTGAAATCCAAAGGAATCTATGAATGTTGTGATTGGCATGCTCTTATTTATCTTTCCTTTTATTTAAATTGATCTAGACTTTTTTATAGGGTCTCTCATAATATATTTTAACTATCTATAATTTTTGGATTACCCGTATATGTATATTTAATAGCCCATTTAATAACCCTTTAGCGCACTTTGCATTGCTCCGATTTATTTTGCATACACATTCAGCAATCAGAGAGAGTATATTGGTTTTTGGTGCTGTCCGTTGGAAGGCAATGAAAGACTTGAAATTTGATAACTATGCTCGTTGGTATTTTAATCTTATCAAGTATCTAGATCAGTTATATATACCCACTAAAGGCATAGCAAATCCGAAAATGCTATATCTATTATAACAGAGAGGTTTTAAATCTGGAATGTGGTTTCGTATAGACAACCCAAACCAAAAATATGTATAGCAGATATATCTAGGCACGGGCTAAAACGGTTTTTTTTTTTTTTAGTTTTAGGTCTTGAAAATTGACTCAGCTACTCTTGGCTAATGATATGATATATTTTCAATCATTTTTAGAAGATTGAAATGCCTCTACTCTACTCTTTTCTTCTTCTCTTCCACAGTCTTAAGACAGTTGAATCTTTTTTAAACTCATTATGAAGCTTTTAAAGCTCTATATCGAAAGAAAAATAGAACTTGAAAAGTTTCATAGCTAAGTCGCTGCCGCTCGACTGCTCCATTTAAATCCACAGTCCATTCAGTTCCAAGGAAATATCGTACTCAATTCGATCGGAAAAAGTTTCTTCCATTTCTTTTGTCAATAAAATTTAGCCACAATTACGAACGAGATTGTCTAGCGCTCTGCACTGGCCGTTCCTAGAATCTGACTACAGCTGTGCCCGTATTTCACGAAATCATTCAGGGTCTAATATATGTATGCAGAGATTGTAAACTTTATTGGTTATTTCATATTTTGTTAATAACTCAAACTCTGGCGCGCTGACATTGTGAGCGTAACGACCCGGCTTTTGGCAGCCCTTCAGCGTTTCGATTCATGGCCTTTAGCCCCGGCCGGAGTTGGGCCGGAGTTTCTTGTTATGTTTTATTTAATATGCTCATTTTTCATACACAGGTCATCCCATTAAAGTATATGGCATACATTTCGGACTAGCCTCGCATTAAAATTGAGGCGCGGCCTACTCGCTCTCGCTGTTTTTCTCACTCACTCTCCCTCTCTGCTTATCTCTCTCTTTCGTTCTTTTGGTAGCGACGCTTGTAAAAGTTTCTTAATAATAAATTGCTTAACTTTTAGGTAAACAAAATCACATTTGACCCCAAGGGGGTTCTGAACCGAACTTTGCTGGGAACATTCCTTAACGCTCTCAACACACCGCCGCCGGCTCGTCACGTGCCTTCTATATGTGGAGAGCACAGAAAAATAAAATGAAAGAACAGAATTGACTAAACGATGATCCTGTTATTTAAATTAAAATTATTATTGATGCGGGGCCAGCGCATCAGATTTTTGCATTTCCATTCCGCTCAAGAATTTGTAATTGACCCAAAAATGCGCCTCAGCTGAAAATGAAATTCTATACTTGAATGAATTTCATCAAATTGACATCGAGACGAGAATCGTTAAGCAATCAAATTATTTTTCTATTTAAAACTGAATATTTGCCACATGAATTTTACGCTCGAAAATATCAGCGTAAATAGCAGAGCAAAATTTAAATGAGTAATAATAATATTTGTCAATACAAAAAATATTTAATAACTTTTTATACCCTGAACCCATT